AAAACAAAGAGAAAGTAAATGTTTAGAAAAAGCAGCTATTACGATATAAATATTATCACGTTACCAGATAGCAGATTTTTCGATGTTTCGAAGAGCAGGATGAGTTATCCCATTTAAACCTAAAGTGAAATACTTTGGAGTTATTATAGACTCAGACCAGGGTTGCCACTGAGGTAAAAAAAAATTCCTTTCACTTGAAAAAAATCTACCAAATCTGGAAAATTTCTACTAATAACTTTTTTTGATATTTTATATATATACCAAAATTTTTTTTTAATAACTTTTTATTTGACTATGGTATTTGAGATCATATTAATGGCATCTTCTCGGTTTCCTTCAACCAAAATAAAAAGTGCAACAACAATTTTTTTAATATTCTCAATGTTTTGCAAGTATAATTTTTTTTTTGTTTTTTTTTTTTATAACCACACCAAGGATTCAAGCTACATATTCGCCAAAATGTTGATTTTTTTATCCTGCAATTATAGAACCTTTTTGTGTACACAGTTGACCATTTTGATCTTTTGAGCGCTAAATGAAATGGGATGAGCCTTTCTTCAACGAGGCCCCGGAGGGTTGGTCCGCGTATTTTAATTTTTTAATGTGCGAAAATGGGTACATAACAATCCTGATTAGGCATATCCTGGTCCATAACCATGTTGGACAGTTCTGCGTCCAATGCATCTAATACAGGAGCTTTAAATTGTTGCAAGCTCTATTTGGCTATCCTTGTTCGTTGCTCTTTCACGCTAGAACACCTGTTTGGATTTCAACGACACTTGGCGCACCTGGATTGACTCATGAGATATGTTTTGAGGAATTGCCGCATTTTTCAGAAGTTAAATACAATTAATAAGTTAAATAAAACGTTACAACATTAGGGGTGTAAAACGAAAGGATCTCCAAAATGATTTATTTTTTGAAAATATTTTTTACAGGTTTGTGGCGAATTGTTAAAAAAAATAAAATCGACTAACTAATAAGTCAAATGAAATATTTTAATTTGGATCGGTTATTTAGTGCATAACAGTACAACAGTAAGTCCATAGGTTCATGATAATCACGAAACTCTGAGAAGGTTCAAATTAGATTAGCTACTAAAAATTTGAATTGGAAGCAATTTTCCGACTTCATTAGAAACTTACGAAATTCATTATCACGTCTGGTCATTGTTTGGTCACATCCGTTTGCGCAAATGCAAGGGCACTTGCATACGTACATACATATGTACGACCAGGGGCGCACCCAGGAATATATTTTGGGAGGGGTTTATACTTCTGAAAATTCGCTTCAGATAAAATGATCATTAAAGTACATTTATGCAAGTTTTATGTACAGTATGTAATAAATGAATAAACTTTTTGAAGTTTCATAAATTGCATTTATTTACATAAAATTAGCAAAAAACTCAAACATTTGTAACCGACTTCGAAAAAGGGGTAGGTTATCAATTCGTCGGAATAGTGTGCTAACGCATAACTTTGGACCACGTGAACCGATTTCAATAATTCTTTTTTTTATCGGAAAGATGGTACCTCAAGGGTCTTCCCGTAATTTTAAATTACTTGTTTAATATAAAGTTCTATAAACACAAGATGCGCTCAACTTGCAAAAGTAATAAAAAATATTTAAAAAAAGAGTTTTATGTTCATTTTCCTCGATATCTGGTTTCTGGTTTTCGAATGAGATGGTGATTTTTTACGATTGCCTAATTTTTTTAATATTTCGAATACCGAGAAAATTAAATGAACTTGAATTTTTGTTATGAAGGCAATTTTGGTGGAACGAATTCGAAGTGGGCAAATTAAATCTTCGAATCCTTGTTAAGGACATATCAGTTGTAAACTCTTTTAGGCTCAGTAAGTGAGTATGCATTGCATATTTTTACGTTTTATTCGCAGTTAAACTTTTAAGAGCTCTCAAAAAAAAACGAAAAATTCATATAAAATGGCGCACAAGAAATGGAATAGGAATTTTCTTCTATCAAAATTTCTTAAATCAATTTGCATCTCTCAAGAAAAAAATGCTCGTCTACTTATTTCTTCAAGAAAATTTACAGCAAAAGCAAAGTGCTTTATAATAAAAAATATTTCTTGTGATTTTTTTTGAGAGCTGGCTTTAGGATACAGGTTGTATTTCAGGTTATTAGCTTTAGGGCGGGGTTGAACCCCAAAACCCACCCCTTGTGTGCGCTAATGTGTACGACATTCATATACATATCTAAGCTCAAGTAAATGTATGCATATATGTATGTACATATGTATTCATTCATAAATATTTAAGCCAGTTTGTTTACCAGTGCAAAATATGCTAATTATCATGACGAGAAAGCAATTTAATTTCGGAGAATAATTAAGAATTTATGTGTACACACAAGCAAATATATTGCAATATGTAGATACATATTTCGTGATCAATAATACGTTCGATCTAAATGAGAAGATTTTTTTAATTAACGGTTTTTAGAATAACAATTTAGTTCATTTCATTATATTTGATAATTGAGGCATGGCTGTTTGTGAATCGACAGAAATATAGTGGTTCTAGTTTTACATTCAAATTCGTACATAAATACTAGCGACACCATTTTTGAGAAGTTAATATACAGGCATATGTGCATTAGGGTCGTCCAAAAAAAAGTAAAGTCGGAATTTTAATGCCCTCAACCCCAGAATTGTTCTACACCGAAAAAAAAACATAGGCCTGTTTTTTATTTTGTAATCAAAAAATATTTTGAGGTCGCTCACAGCTTTCCATGTATTTAATACCGCTAGCTTTGAGTGAAGAGTTGCTAAGTCCATTTAAAAAAAAAAAAGAAGGGAAGAAAAAACTTCTTATAGCCATTTTCTTCGAGTATTTGGCAAAACTTTGAATACAAAATTTTGCGTGTTTAACGAAAAGCAAAACACGATACGAATCAGAAGGATTCGATCTCTACTAAAAGATTTGGTAATATTTTGGCCTGTTGTCTCTTTTGGGCTTAGCAAATTTTCCTTTTATTACAAATAAAACAAGCACCTTTATCCTTTTCGAAACGATGCATTTTTCTTGTTTTCTATATCAAAATATGAGTTTTCATAAAAAGTGGGCTTAGCAACTTTTCACTCTAATAGCGATATGGAAAAAAAACAGTTTTTCGTAGAAGTAGTGTAGAATTCTCTGGAATCAATATTTTTTGATCGGAAAACTCTGTTCCGCTTATGGAGACTTCCACAATACTACCTAATTATTTATGTAACCATTTTTTTAATAATAACTATTTTTTATTATGAAACTATCAACTACTTACAAATATTTGAATTGCTCAGTCTGTTCGCGCCCAAGTATTTACAGACACATACATACATACTTACACATACCACATTTTCACAAATCAAAGCTTATTTGATTGTTATCCTTTTACTTCAACCATCGTTCGAATTATTTTAAATGTGATATTAATTGGGCACAATTACGGTAATGGCAACAATATTAAAAGCAAATTAGACCCGATGGGCCACGAAAATAGCTAAAGTGTGACCCTTATGAAATCTTAGTTCTATAAATATGTATATTCTAAGCATAAATATCGTGATTATGTAGCGGTAATAATTGTGGCAAAGCTATTAAATATAGTACACATAAGTACGTGCATACCAGGGATGTTAATTTTTCAGCTTTTTCCGATCCCGTCGTTATCACAATCCCGGGATCCCGGGATTTAGATATTCATTACTTTTCAACAACTTAAATCGAAAAAATTGCTTCTATTATCAGTAGTATGAGAATACATAGCAAAATGACTCACGTAAGCAACTCAAAGAGAAAAATGTTAGCAGAATTTTTAAAAACTCCAATTCTAAAAATTACAAACTGATAAAAAAATAACCAACTTGTAGCTTTATTGTGGAATTTCTATAAAATATATAACTTGTAGTTAGCTATAGAAAGCTAGTTTAAAACTAGTTTCTATTTAAACATCCTAATACAAATTTTACTTTGATAACACTTTCTTGCTGCACTTCACAAATACTTTTTCGAATTGAAGACAAAGAATATTTTGATGAGACTTAACAAGAATATTGACTTGCTAGTATCGGAACAATTTCTTGTACGTTTATTTGCCAAAAGTTCTTTAACGGCTCGGCCCCAGTGATTCATTCTTAATCGTATGCTGCGAATACCGCATTATACTAAAGCCAGCATTTCGACATAAGCTACTAATCCATATGAACACAGATATATGAAATGTAATAAATTAAGGTAAATAAATAAAAAAGTAAAAACACAAAAAAAAATTTTTTGTTTATCTTATGTTGGAAAACGCTGTTTCTAACGGCCGTTCCTAAATAAGAGCGCTAAGCGTTGCGTACGTTTTCTCATTTCCTCTCGTTTTATTCCTGTTCCCTTTCTCACTTGCTTGTCCTTTGCCTTTCTTTCCGTCTTTGGCGTCCAACTTCAACACGTAACGCCCTGTCAGAAATAAAATTTCCATTTGCTCGACGTTAGCGCCGCATTATTGTGGGATGCTTCATACGAACTGTGTGGACATAAGGATTTTTGACAGTTGCTTGGCGCTTGATGCGCCAATTTAGGGATGGCAGTAAGTTCGAAATCTAATTTCTCATAATTTCAGGCAGACATCTTTTCCCAGAGAGTCTAAAACAGCTGAAAGAAAACTTTCGGGATAATTTAGAATTGAGCGGATGGTCAATCTTGGTTTAGCCACCGTTTATGAAGCTTCTCGCTCTTGGACCAGTAGTTGCATATAAATTATATACGACATGTATATATGTACATCCAGACATATGTATGCATGAGTACATCGTTGGTGGCGGCTGCGTCACATTAATGATCGAAAATGTGTTTGATGTGTCGCTAAAGCGCTATTGGTTATAGCCACCACGTCACCACGCCACCACCAACACTGCTAATTGCAACCGCCGCACATAAACATAAATAGGTGCATAGTATGAGCCTCGCAGTTGCTGCTCCGCGAGAAGGCCAAAATGCTTATTGATTCAAGCTAATGAAGCGAAATTTTCCCAATTGCCTGAGTTCACTTTGTGGGCCGCCTCTCCAACGGCTGACGTACTGAATACGTAGTATACTCGGATAGGTATACCAATTGCTTCTGTATTGCCATCATTGTTGCTGCTGCCAACGACACTTGCTTTTGGCCAGCAATATGCGTCAAAGGAAATTCGTTTATAATCGTCGTCATCAATTATTGTTCTACAACGCGGCGGCGTTGACTTTAGTGTCGGTGGCAGTAGTGGTACTGCAACTGCTGTTGGCGTTGGCGTTGGTATTGGTCTGCTTGGCCTGCTACGACTGCTGTGTGTGTGGCTTTCTGGGTGAAACTCGAATTTAGACTGCAGGACAAGCTGACTAATTTTGAAGCAATTTTAGATGGGTATAAAGAAAAACAAAAAACATATTTGGTGGATGCCTCACTTATTCGGCGCTGCATCGTGTATGGATTGTGGCAGTAGGTAAATTGCTTCATCGACGCCTCGCGACTGCAAACAAACAAGCCAACATACTACAAACATAGCGCTGCGTTTACATAAGACAATTTGAGCCAAGACAATTGAGAATACATATGTATTAGTTGTCAAATTGTTGTGTAAAGTGGGCGTCCATACAATTATAAAGACAATACACATCTACATTTTTCAGAAACCGTCGCGCCGTTAGTGTCGTTCGGCGTGAATTTCAAACTATTTACTAAAATATCCAAACGCAAACAACTTTTTCATATTTCTGCGACTTTTTGCGATTTTGTCTTGCCTTTTTTTCTCAAATTAACCAAGACGTGACCAAATTCTACAATTTACCGTCCAATTCACTGTCTTCGAAAAATCAAAGACAGTGACGAAGACAATGCGGGAAATGTGAATGTATTGCTATTGTCTTGGCAAAAATTGTCTCATGTAAACGCCTGGTAAGCTTCAAACTGAATGTATGCGTACGACTCTCATCGAGCTGGTGGGTTTGGCAGCAGCGATTTAATTTAGTGGCGCACCGCTTCGTTTGCTCGCGGATAGTTTTTTTGTTTTTTTGCTGTTGCTTTCGCTTCGTTCGATCGTTCGCTTGATTGGCCGTTTGAATTGTATTTTATTTGTATTCTGGGTGTTCCGGCAATTTGTTCCCTTTACTCAATTAACCCGTCACTACTTTGCTGCCTTGTACTGCCAGACACCCTCTGTTTCTTGTATTTTTTTTCGGCCTGGTGGACGTACGTATATATGTACATTAGGGTGGTCCACGAATGCACGTGAAAAAGTGAAGTCGGAATTTGTATGCCCTCCCCCACCCCCCTAAGATGGTTCTATACCAAAAAAAAGCTCCATTTTTATACTTTGAAATCAAAATTTATTATTGGAATCTCCTGAATAGAACCAGAGTTTTCCGATCGAAAAATATAGATTTTCAAAGCTTCCATATAATTTGGGGCATCAAAATTCCGATTTTATTTATTTTGAACCACCCTAATGTGCATACCCACGGAGTGTTTCCATCTTAATAGAGTTGCCAAATGACAGTTGATTTTGATTGCTGCTTCTTTTTATTATATGTATGTAGCCCCTTTCTCGCTTCCATTAAAAGTCAATCATTAATATTTTTTATTGTTTGTTATTGTATATATGTTTCGGAACCATTATTATTAATAATGGAAACAATAATAGTAAAACCGAAAGGCGAGACAATACGCCAATTGAGCACGCGGTCGCCTTTTTGGGCGTGTTGTGTGTGTGTGTGTGTGTTAAAGTGGTACACACTGTACTATGTAGGCATGTATGTATGTATGTAAATATTTATGTGGGTCTAAATGTGGCTTGTAAACCCATAACAATATTTAATTTTTTTTTATCTTAATCTCTCTTTGTTGTACAAAATAAATTAATGCATTTCGCCACATTTTTCCACGCCTTTCACATGCCACATTTCACTTACATACATACATATGTATGTGTGCATGACGATATATGTGCATATATTTATATATACACTGCTATGTATGTATGTATGTGTATTTATTTGTATGTTTGTTTTCACATAAATTCTGATCATTCGAAACATCCATAGCATCACACCAGGGAGGTCACTGTAGCTTATCTATTCACGTATATACATATGTACATATACATATATTTAAGTACATACACACACAAACATATGTGCGTATTTACCTTTTAAAAGTGTACCTTTTGCTATATATGTATGTATGTACATACATCTGTCAGAGAAGCGGTGCAAAGAACATAATGTATTTAGTACCTTTAGTACCTTTTTCTGGCTTGACTTCTATCGCCGCCATCATCTTGGGCTTTTACGCAATTACTCGCACAATGCTTGTTTGGTCTTGTCACGCTTTTTTGTATTTTTTTTTTTTGGTTTTTTGTTTTTGTTCTTATATCATAATTATTTATTTTGTTATTTGGGAGTGTTCCATGTTTTTGACGTAGGCGTGGCAACCCTTCACATCTCCGAGGATATTTTCTTCCTTCGTCGCGCTCATTTTTTTAGTGTTTTGTTAATAGCGTAAAAGGATTTTCCGCTTTTCCGAGGCAATTAATATGAAATTAAGCGAATACCGCAAATAAAAATTAAAAAAAAAACATCATGAAACTGAAATTCTTGAGCGCATATGGAAGCAATTTTTTCCGATTAAGTCGCGACTCCCTTAATTGCTTTTCGCTTAATATCTCCATTTGTTTGATGAATTTCAATTTTTCGATCACTTAAAAATTTACTTCGCTAAATCGTTGCAGCTGACGCGCTCATCAGATGGCATCTATCGCTCTAAACACATTTGTTTGCGGGTAAAGTAAATTTTTTTTGAGGCTACTACACTGTTCGGCAATAGGCTGGAGAATTGGTGAAACCACGGTTTTCTAAAAGTCGGTTTTCAAAACTGAGGTGTCCAATTAAAGTGCCTGGCCTGCAGATATGCAAACCGGTCTAATTTTTTTTATTTAAATTTAGTTAAAATTATTTATTCATTTTCACCAACAATTCACGTTCACGATTTCCAGTGATACATTTATCTGGCAATATTACGGTTTGGTGGTTGTCAGAAGGCATATTTCCATTGTCGTCTTTAATAACCTAACGAAAGTGTATGTTCGTGAAGAAGTTCTTGAAATTCTCCAATGATCTGGCGTGTCGCAGCATGGTTAATCGCAAAACGAAATAAATTTGAAGAACTTTTTCCCATTCACTCCCTGGCAGCAACAATGATCCAGTTTGATGGTGAATCTGTCCTTGAAACTGTATCGTATAGTTGGTGGCAATTTAAAAATTGCTGAGTATCGTTGTTCTACAGAAATCCAATATACACAGACTTATTTCAGTCGAAATACCTTAAAGCTATTATCAAGGAGCGCAATTTTCATTTGAGATTGACCCCTGGACCACTCAATCCTGGTGTATCTGAATGAAGCTCGCAAATCACGTTCATTGGGCCAATCGGAACACACGGGAGCTCGGCATACTCGGTGGTATAGCACGTCGATATAATCGGACATTCACGCCACTTTTTCTCACTTCACCATTTTTAGTAATAGCTCGACCGCAGCGTCACCCGGCGGCTGTTTTTGCAATAGTATTGCCCTTACCAGTCATTACCAATACAAAAGTATCTCGAATACAAGCCAGATCAGATCATAACTAAGATTTTTAACAATAACACATCTCCATCGCCACCTGGCAGATCAAACTGGAAATCTGAGCAACTACAAAGAGACCTTGCTCACACAAAAAAATTCGTTAAAATCGATTTTATATACATACATCCAAAGAAAGGTAATAGTTTCAGTACCTTTTGGAAGACGCCGCGCCCCTTCTTAAATATCCCAATTGTCTTTAAAAGTATGCGATTGATTTCGTATATCTCTAAGAAAAAAAGTCCTTTAGATCATACCTCTAAAATCAATTTGGAGCCTGCGCAATTTTAAAAGAAAATATCTTTAATAATATCAATAATCAGATTAATATTTACTAAAGTATCACGAATGTTTTTTTTTATAAAACTGGTGCTCCGGAGTTTTGGGATATGAAAATTTCATTTCTGATATCTATTTTTTATTTAAAGAACAGCAAGATGGCGCTTCAAAGCAAATCTACTATATATTTGTGGAAGTATGTATGTATGTGCTAGGTTGTAGCCTAAACGGATGGACAGAATCGAATAAAATATTTCCATGATTCCTGGACCTCTAATAGGGGAAAAAATTGGGACTCCCATAGTGAAAATTTTTAATCAGCTCTAACTACGGAATTATTGTCACATGAACTCGAAATTTGAAATGCACAGGTAACTATGGTAGGTGCTTATAGAAAGATATATGTATATAAATGAGTTTGTAAAAGGGGGCGTGGCACATCTCATAGGTGTGGAATCGGTGGAGTGCAATAAGGCCCATGGGCTTTATTTCCCAGAAAAGAGAAATATTTCCATTTCGAAGGGGAAACAACGCCCTTCACTAAAAGGCAATAAAGCCCGCGGGCTTTATTTTCCAAAGGAAAGGAAATAACGCCCGCTTGATTTATTTCATAAAAAAGGAAATAAAGCCGGTGAGTAGTATTTTCTCTGGCTTTATTTTACTGAAACATTCCAGTTATGTATACAGGCATACATTTGCCTAAAATGGAACGTATTTTAAACTAATTGCTCTCTATTTTTGCATACAGTGTAGTTCTGCGTTAAATTCCCTTCTGCAGTATACGCACAAAATCAAACGGTATTTTTCCCAGTAACTGATAAGCGAATTATTGGAAATTAAAGGTAAATTGTTACTGTTTTTTAGCTTCCAATGCGATGCGCATATAGTGGTTGCCGGCAAACGCGCGTTGAGCGCCAACAGACTCGCTGCCCACGCACGGGCTTTATTTCTTTTTTTTTTAGGAGGTCTCTAAGAGTATGCGATTGATTTCGTATATTTCTATACTACTATATGTTCCCGTACTAAACCATTAACACTTCCAGAGATGTGCAGTATGAAAAATTCGGTTTATTTGACTAGAGTAGAGAACTTGACTACAATGAACACATCCACAAATATAATAATAATAATAGATTGGCGCCTACATATATGTTAGTGTTTGGCCGAGCTTCTCCTCCGATTTGTGGCGTGCGCCTTGATGTTGTCACACAAAGTGGAGAGGCCTACAGTTTTACGCCGACTCCGAACGGCGATTGTATTTTTATGAGAAGCTGTTTTTCATGGCAGAAATACACTCGGAGGTTTGCCATTGCCTGCCGAGGGGCGACAGCTGTTAAGAAAAACCTTTTTTTCTAAATTTTTTTGCGATGTTGCTTTGACCAGGGCTTGAACCCAAGCGCTGCGGATTGGAAGCGCGCACTGCTTACCACTACACCACAGTGGCCGCCTTATATTTAATATCGAGATATTTATCCTTAAAAAATTGTGATGTTTCCACAATTTCCCGGGTGCCGCAAATCAACTTTGACATCCCTAGCAACACTTCTCATAGCATTCAAAGGAAACTGACAACCATGACAATGACTAATTTTCAACTATAACTTGACT